AAATTATTGAACATATTATTATAAAATTCAATTAATTATATAATCTAAAAAAAGAAAAGATACCTTATTAAAATAAAGATGTCAATATCTGTATATAAAAAATGGAAATAACTAAATTTAATTATCATTCTTTAATGAATAGATGATAAATTATAAATAAGTGAAAAAATCTTTAGATATAAATCTATTCTTAATATTAGATAATGATATTAAATGTATCAGATTAATCCACCTTAGTTTAATTTTTATCTTATAACATTACTGAACTCAGCAGAGTTTACAAATTCCTTAGCATTTCTAGTTGTTTACAATTATATTAAGTATTAGCTCTTTAATTCATTATAAATTTAAGTTTCTTATGCTTAAGCATCTTTATCTTATTCTAAATTAAATTATCTCAATATTATTTACATAAAGAATCTTTATAACTTTAGAGATCATTTTCATTTTCAGCTAAGGCTTCTCTTGTTGATTTTAATTTACCTAATTAAATAAATTAATTAATATTTTTTACTCTAATAAGTAGCTAACACATAAGTAGCTTCTAATACAGATCTCTTAAATTCTTAATATTCTGTATTTAAAGTTTTTTATCTTTCAACCCAAGTTTACTCAATCTAATTTTCATCTGCTGTCTCTTAATTTAAACTTGCTACTAATTAATTTCTTGTATCTGACAATAAATCTCTTATTTTCTTAGCTTATTCTTAATCTGAAAAATTTTAAGTTAATGACATAAGAGCTTCAACAATTGGATGAACTGTATTAGTCTTTTGTGTTTTAGTATTGATTCTTTATATTGCTTAATTTATTGTTCCTTTTTCAGCAAATGAAATATTTCCATTAATTAGAGCATTAATTAATTAAATTGCTTCATCAACTGCACTTATAGCACTTTAATGTTCACTTACTTTTAAATTATATATTATATTGTTACCTCTATCTAAAAATTATTGATGTTATTTTTATCTATTTAATGTTTCTTTTGATAAATTATCTCTATTATCATTTATATATCCATTCAATCTATCAATTTTTTAATTTGTTTAATCAATGCTTGGTAAAAGAATAGCATCAATAAAGTCTTTTTAATTAAATATATTAATTTCTGTTTATCCTATTTGAATATCTAAATTTTCTTGAGTAGCAGCATGTTAATTAGTTGATCTTGTATAATCATCATCTAATTATTGTAATTCTGCAGTTAATTCATTTTCTAAATCTCCTATTGCAGTCACTAAATCATCTAGGTTCCTGTTAAATTTAATTTATTTTACCTAATGGTCCTCTCATTTCTGCATGAGTTTATGCCAATTCTAAGATCATTTTACCTAAATTGCTTTAATTCAATTCATCAAGCTTTGCTGTTCCTAATTAAACCATGCTTGGATCAATTGCATTGACATAAATGATTGCTAATAATAAAAGACTAAGCTTTCTCATTATTATATTTTTATTAATCCGTTTTCATTATTGATAACTGTATATTTTTTAAATATTCTTTTTCATACAATATATTATTTGAAATAAATAATAAATTTTAATGTTCTATTTTTAATTTATTTATAGACATCAAATACATATTGAATCTATTTGATATATATATTTATATCATTTTTACATTAAAAATTAACTAATTTGTACTATTTTATATAATTATATTATGTATATATGATGAATCTGGTTTAACAAAGATAGATGTTCAAAATTATTAATTGAAGAAAGATTAATTTTTTATGAATTAAAATTAAAGTAATATATCTTTTTAATAATCTTAAGAAAATTCATAAATATTAACAATATTATAAAAAATATCTAAAAAATCTTGGAATAATAATTTTTAACCAATGATTAATAGTAATTCAATTGATACGAATTCCATTTTTCCATTCTCCATAAGATGTTTTGCCATTAGGTAATTTTAATATGGCTCTACCATGTTGTTTATCTTACTACCATTCCCCTTCATATACTCTACCATCAGGGAATCTCAATATTCCTTAACCATGTTTTTGATCAAATACGAAATCTCCTTCATACACTTTTCCATCAGGCCATATGTACTTACCTTTACCATTTCTAATAATATATTATTTAAAAATACTTTTTGTTATTTTACCAATAACCTATATATTATTTACCATCTGGCCATGTGTATTTTCCATATCCATCTATATTATTGCTTCTAAATTCTCCATCATATATTGCTCCATCTGCCCATACAAATTTTCCCAATCCTTCTTTTTTACCTTATTTATAGGTTCCTTCAAAATAACTAAAATTAAATATGAACCTAACCTTCCATCTGGCCATTTCTCACTTCCCTTTCCTTGTTATAAATCATGTTCCCATTATCCTATATAAGTTGCTCCATCTTCATGAATATATGTTCCTTAACCATGTGCTTCATCATTTTCCCATTATCCTTCATAGATTTCTCCATTTGAATGTATTAATCTTCCTCTTCCATGAGCATTTCCTTAATAAAAATAACCTTCATATTTTGAACCATCCTTTTATAATTAAATGGAATTACATCACAAATCAAAATTCCTTTGCCATGTCTTAAATCATTAATCCATTCTCCAAAATAAGTGGCTCCATTTTCTAATTTCATTGGTGCTTTAAGTACTTTTTAATGAACAAGAGAATCATTAATATCGTCAATTCCAAAATCAAATGGAGGTAGCTGTCTAGATCCTACATTAATCACGCTGACGGAATATCTACTGTTAAAAGTGAGGCTACGTTCTTAACTATTCATTGACACTGTCATTATATTTCTGCAATTAAATCTTCCAAACTCTTTAACGAGCTTACCATCCACGAATCCAAGACTGCATTTTAACTATTTTATGCTCCTATGATTTCAAGAACTCTAAACTTTGCCATCTAGGTTTAGATTTTTTATCTTGTTCTATTTGATTTTGTAAATCATGTTTCCAACAGGTACAATTATTGCCCATTAATTTTAATGTTAGAACATTTATCTACAGCCCCTTATGAGCCTAAAATTCTTTCATGTTAAAAATCTGATTTCCTTTCAGCAACAGAACATAGTTAACAATGTTACATAGCCTAACAATATTGCTAACATGATTTTCTATACTTCAATTATAGTATTTTAAGTTATTGTTGGTTAAATGGATCAATTATGGTAAAATAGAATATTAACATTTTTAGACAACTTTAATGGTGTCTGGATTTGTTGGTTATTTAGTGTATAATGGAATTAGTGAGATTATAAAAGAATTTCTAATACCATCTTTAGAAGCAGTCAAAGTTAAATTTGATGTCTCAGAAATTATGGCAGGAGTGACTCTACTTGCATTTGGAAATGGAGCTGGTGATGTATTAACTGCATTAGTAGCATCATCTTATCCAGGAGGGATTGATTATAATATTGGAGCAACAATGGGAGCAGGATTTGTAAAAAATAGATTGTTCAATTTATTTTTAGTTTTTATGCAGTATAGGTGTGTATTTAATAACGAAAACATCGAAATCTTAAATTAAAATGGATCCTGTGCATTTTTGGAGAAATGTTGGATTTCAAATAATCTCAATTTTTGTAATTATGGTATTTGGAGTTATTGGTTAAATCTCTTATTTCTCTAGTATATCATTAACTGTCTTATATTTGATATTAGTTTCACTAGTATATTATTAAGAAAGAGATAAAATATTGAAAAGTAGAAAAGATAGTTTGGGTGAAAGATTGTAAACTGTTCATGAAGCAAAATATGATTTAGAAATTGCTTAGAGATTTGATGATATGAAATTACTTTATCTTTGGGATAAGAAATCTGAATAAGAATTAGCTGCTAAACCAGTTAAATGGGCTACTCCACTTATTAGATTAAATTATGTAACAGGAGATGCAAGAGTGAAGATGTTAGCTAAAAAATTTAGATTTGCTGTTTAATTAACAATGGCTAATATTGAAACATAAAGATAAAAATGGGAAAGATTATCATTATATGAAAAGATAAGAGCAATAATTATTTATCCTTTAATACAAATATTTAAATATACATTACCTGGACCAAAAGAAGATTAATTTGATAAAAATTAAGCAATAAGTAAATTTAAGATAATTATTACTATAGTATTTCCAATTCCAGGATCAATATTTTTTGTTTCTGTTGTTTTTAGTTTCCCTCATTGGTGGGTTTACTTTTTAGCATTATTATTTGGATTTGGAATTTCTATATTTTTAAATACTACTATCCCTTCTTAAAAAACACCTCCAAAATATTTTTTCTATCTTTAATTATACTGTATATTAGGTTCATTAGTTTGGATATTCTTTTTATCTGGTTTATTAATTGATTTTCTTCAATTTTGGGGGATAATAACAGAATTAAATAAAACATATTTAGGTTTTAGTTTGATTGCCATGGGAAATGTACTTCCAGATTGCATCACCTTAGTTTCCTTAGCTGAAGAAGGTTATGGTAAGATATAACCCTATTTATAGCAATTATGGCTTTAAATGGAATATATTGTAAAAAATGATTAAACTATTTGTAGTTGGTCAAATGTTTACAAATTTGATTGGATTTAGTGTAGCATTCCTGAAACAAAACTTTGTAAATAATGGTCCAATCAAATTCAATTTGTTTAGTATAATTGACATTGAATAAAATGCTTTCAAATTGATGGTTATTCTAGCAGCCTTTCTTAATTTATTATTTACATTAATAATGGCAGTCAGAAACCATTATATCATATCAAAGTCCATAGCCAAATTACTAACTATTTTTTATTGTGTTTTTTTTACCCTATCATCTTCCTCAGCATTCTATCATGCCTGGACTAAGAAATGAATATAATTATTTATAATTTATAATATTATTATAAAAAACATCACTAATAAATTAAATAAATAAATAATTAAAGACTCAATTATATAACTATAATTTTTCAAAATCTTAAGTTTAAACTCTTTACTTAAAATTTCTCATTCTCATATATAATTGATCTTTCTATATATATTTTCATTATAATCTTTCTCTAATAATTTTGAATATTATATCCATAGAAGGCATTTAACCACTGTTGATTTTAGAATGTATTAATTAATCATTAATAAATATTTCAAATGCTCCTGATGATGATAGTTAAGTAATAATAAAATTAAAAGCAATATAACCTAAAAACCCATATTTTAATTTGCTTTGACTTATATTATTTCTCCAAAAATTACTCATCTCACTAATTTATTTGTCAAAGAAAATCAAACCAGCAATAAATCCATATTAGATTATTGTTAGAAGTTGTATTAATTTCTCTCTGCCTTCTCCCAATGGATATGGCATTCCCATTACATCTACTCTCTCATCAAACTAATTAAATATTGCCTATTGTATTTATTAAAATGCTCCTTTATAAGATCAACTTGTGCAATATTAAATGAGAACTTCAATTTTTCCATTATCAACATGATTCCTTGAATGAGAATTTAGAATTTATTCTTTACTCTCCTACCATTATTCTTCCTTCTATTGAGGTTTAAAAAACTCAAAGGCTAAAAGAGCAAAGAATATAATGGTAATTGTTTTTTCCATTAAATATTAATTAAAACACAATTAATTCAATTTTGTTTTTATTTTATTAAAATCATTATTTCCCATAAATATCTTAAAATACATCATTATTAAATTAACTATAAAAAGTATATATACTGAATGTAATCAATTTATATGATCTTCTTAATATTATATATTATTAAAAAACTTGTTAATTATTTTTAATAATATTATGTATTCTAAAAAATTGATATATTTAGATTTCTTCAAGAATCTAGAATTAATATAAATTGATGAGAAAAATAGAATATTATATTGAAATAATAATTATTAGGAAATTAGATTAATTAATTTAAGCAATTAGAATGAATGGAACTATTTTTAGTTATTTTTAAAGTTTAAAAATCTATTTATTAAAATATTATTTATGAATAGAGTGGCCTTTGTTGCAGTAGCTTCAATTTTAACCTAAAGAAAAGTTTAATTATAAAGTGCAGGAGATTCAAAACATATTCATTATCAATTGAAGAGTAGAGAATAACATTTAGCTGACGCACTATCAAATGAATACGACGTCATTATAGTTGGTGGAGGAGCTACTGGAGCAGGTGTTTCACTCGCTTGTGCTAATAGAGGATTAAAATCTATAGTTTTAGAGTCATAAGATTATGCAAGTGGTGCATCAAGTAAATCGACAAAATTAGTTCATGGAGGTGTAAGGTATATGTAATAAGTATTTCAACTGTCAGAAAAAAATAGAATGGAAAAATGGTAATTGGTGGCAGAAGCATTAAAAGAAAGATCTAATTTTTTATCAATGTGTTCTTATTTAACATAAGATTTCCCTACTTTAATACCTTGTACAAATTTATTTGATTTGGGATATTATTATTTTGGGTCTTTGATATATCATTGTGTTTACTTATATTATTAAACAGGTGGACATACTTTTAAACCTCCAAGAATTGTTGGCAAAGATGAAATCTAATAACATTTTAAATTTGCTAAATGTAATTATGGTGTCATTTATTATGATGGATAATTCAATGATGCTAGAATGGTCTAAGAATTACTTGTTACATCAAGTCTAAAAGGTATATTTATAAATTATTTGATAAGGATAGAATATGGCAAATTATGTTGAAGTTAAAAGTTTATTAAAAAATTAAGAAAATAAGATTGTAGGAGTTTAAGCATATGATAAAATTGGATAGAAACAATTTCAAATAAAAGGTAAATGTGTTGTAAATGCAACTGGTGGTTGGGCTGATAATTTACGTTTGATGGATGATCCTAATGTTAGTAAGAGAATAGTTTCAGTTGCAGGTAGTCATTTAACAATGCCTTAAAAATATGGATCTAATTATTGGGGTTATTTGATACCAAAAACTAATGATGGTAGAGTTCTATATATGGTACCTTGGTTAGGAAATATGATAATGGGAACTACAGAACGAAAATTAGATAATACTATAAATGATCCTACTGTAAGTGATGAGGAATATATGTGGTTATTGAAATCATTTTGTGATGAATTTGCTATTGATGCTAATGAAGTAGCAAAAGATGTAAAATCAAAATGGTGTGGAGTAAGACCTTTAGTTTATTAAAACAATGCTCTTAGTACAAAAGAAGTCTCAAGAACTCATGAAATAGAAGTATCAAAAAGTGGTTTAATATCAGTTATGGGTGGTAAATGGACAATCTTTAGATTGATGGGTGAATAAACAGTAGATAAAGTTTAAGAATTAATTGGAAATAATTATAAAAGGATTGAGAATCTACCAAAATTAGTTGGTGATTGGACATAATTTGATAATAAAAAGGAAATCTAAGTAATGATGAATAAGTTCGATTTACCATAATCTTATGCGACCTATTTCTTAACAACATATGGAGACAGAGCATATGATGTATTAAAGTTGGTTCATGAAAAACCAGAAAATAAGGAATGTTTACATCCACAATTCCCCCATACTGTTGGAGAAATATTGTACCAAATTAGATATGAACAAGCTAGAAAGCCTGAAGATATTTTATTTAGAAGAACAAGATTAGGTTTTTTAGATTAGAATGCTATTTTTAATGTTTATGAGAAAGTATTCTAAATTATGGCTAAAGAATTGAAATGGCCTGAAAAATTTTAAAAGGAATTTTTAAAAGAAAATTTTGAATATATTAGAAAATTAGAGTTTTGATTAATTTTATTTGTTATCTTTTTTATCATAAAAACAATTTGACTACATCTGATGCGATTTATGGATATTTTTCTAATAATTCATCCTTTGCTTATTACATTTCTTATTAATAAATCTATATTATTTACATGCATTTTCAAAAGTAGCTTTTTTGAATTAACTTAAACAGAAATATCCAACCACTGCCATTAAAGCTGGGAAGAATATTGATAACATTAGAAATTCATTTTTAGTATTTCTAAAAGGAGTATCATCCCAAGTATTATATGAAAACCATAATATAAATGATGTTATCAAATCATAAATGTATGAACCAATCAATAATACTAATAAATATTATCAAATTAAATACTTGAATACGATTTATTTATTTTTCTTGACTTTTAATCTATACCAAAATATCCAATTGTAGCTGATAGCATCTAAATTAAATGAGCAACAATCAAAGCAACTAATGTCTTATATAAACCTATGGGACATTGTAAATCATGATTCAAGAGTGCAGTATCAACACATAAGGCAGGATTCTCTCCACCTTCAATTACTACATCTGAATAAATTTAAAAGAAAGCTATCCCCAAATATGAAGTATTGAATGCCCAAAAAATATATTTTCTTCTTTCATAATGAAATTGAGAATCCACAACTTTTTTAAGATCACCCTTTGGAATTCGATTTTAATTATTCATTAATTATATAAAAACAAAATAACATATTATTAATCATTCATTAATTATACAATTACTCTAATTACTCAACTTATATGGCATCATTAGCCTATTTAGGTAATTCAAATTTGAATAATGTCACTGTCTTTTCTATTGGAAACCCTTTATTGTTGATTAAGAGATTTCTTATTTCTTCTGTATATGGTCTTGATTTCATTAAAGTTACTGTTGTCAATTATTATAATATTGAAATATTAATTGGTGATCCTCCAGGTTTGTGAACATGACATATATCATTATATATATTGACACTGTATGTGATTCTTCCATTCTAAACTGCTTCCTCTTCTAACTAGAAAAAATCAATATAATATATTACACATGGATCTTATAAGAGAATAGTTTATTCATTTAATTCTAAGATTGCATAAGTAACACTCAAAGGAATATGATGGATACTTAATGGTACTAATCGCTTTTCTATTTCAAGTTTTACTCCTTAAAGGGAGACACTTACTTAAGGTCTTCGAAAATGTTGTAGAGAGAAAATACAACATAAATACATGGCATCTAAGAGATTCCCATCATTATTAATTAAGGCTACATTTACATCTATAGACCAAACATTTTTGCCAGATAAAATACATAAAGACTCAGTATCAAGTGCTCTTTTATTTAATAAATTTTATACTTTGATCCTTTTATTACTTTTTCAATGTATTTTTCAATTTCCATTCCTAATTTAATTGGATTATGCATATAACCAGTATCTCTTAACACTTATAAATCCAAATGAAATTTAAGGAATCCTTCTGAAGGTCTTATTGGATTAGGTGTTGTTATTGAGGCACTAGTTGTTGCAAATACCTTAATTAAATTTTATGATTTTAATACTCTTGTTTCACCCAAACTTAATTCAATAGCACCTGTACTCTAAGGCCCAAAATGACATTAAATCATCCTTTATTATAAAGGATCTCGACCATCTATTCGTTTTCCAAGGGCTAATTATTCTAAAACAAATTCAGAATTCATTATTAAATATGATGAATAAATATATATTTTATAATTATATTTTTATGCTTTATTTATTTTACTCATCTCTTTTTGTTTTGAGTCTTCTTTTTTCTTGAATTGCTTCTTGATCTGGATCTTCTTTTATAATATTTGGAATCATGTTTTTAATCATATTTTTGATCATGTTTTGTATCAAACTTTTTCTTTTAATTCCTTTTATCTGATTCTGAACTTGCACTGCTTCTTTTATTACTACGATCTATCAATATATAGAAATAAATAAGAATACTATGATGTCTTTATCGTTCTCTTTCTCTTTCACGTTCTTTTTCTTTTTCTCGTTCACGTTCTCTCTCTTTTTCTTTGTCTCTCTCCCTTTCTTTTTCTTTCTCCCTTTCTCTTTCTCTTTCCCTCTCTCTTTCCTTCTCTCTTTCTCTCTCTCTTTATTCTTATTGTTATTTTAGGAGTAATTGTTTTTCCCTCTCTTTTCTTATTTAATCAGCCTTAATCAATTAGGCTCTTTTGGATTTAGAGAATTCTTCTATTTTGAAAGGATCATATAAACCACTTTAAAAGAGAATATCTCTATATTATTAGACTTCAATCTAAAAGATAAATAATAATAATATTACTTCAATGGGATCAGTTGGGACTGGAGGCAAAGGTGGTTTAGGTTGTAAATAAGTCAATTCATAATTGGTTACTACCTAAACCTTTTTATCTTCAATTGTTCTGATATCTTCTTCAGTAAGTTCTCTACCATCTATGTTTATATAAAGATTTCTTTCAGCTCTTTAGATCTCAATATGTTTATTGAATTCATATATTCTTTCATCAATTGCATCTATTTCCTCTCCTTCTTTACTTATAATATTTTTATATCTAAAGATAATATAATATTTACCTCTTTTGTATTAGTTTAAGAAATTCTTGCATCATTTGTATCTATGTAGTAAATGATTACTTCTAGGATGAAATAATAGTTTATTAATCCTTTGATTAGATGATAGTATAGATAATAAATACCTTATCAACAATGTAACGATAAACTTGAACAAATTTGGACACTTATTCAAGAGAAACGTCTGGATTGGCTCGGTTGTAGAACTTATGCTAAACTAAACGTTGGATTAATGTATCACGAGAACCCTAAGAGCACAGTCCCTTAATTCGGCAAATACGATCAAGTATCTCATCATCAACATGTGCGAGTTTTTCCTTCAATAAAATAACCATCGACTTTATAAAGCTATGAGGAGATGCTCTCAATTTGGATTGACTGTTCTTTCATCAAAAAGGATAGCTCTAATCCCTTCAAGTACTTTTGGTCAAACAAATTCTACTCTCTCCAACATTACAACAATTTCAAAATCTTAAATAAATTATAAATATAATTACTTTCTCTTTATAAGGTAATAACTAATCTAAATTACTAAAAATTTTAGGTAAACACCACTAGATGTAACTTTTAAAATTATGATTACAGTTATTCAAAATATCTGAAATCAAATATAAACGAGCAAGCTTTAATAATTATTTAAAAATACTTTCATTGACCATGTTGAATCATTTAGAAGTGATTCCTCTAAAATCAACATTAAATCTGCTGGACAGTCTTAATGATCAATACAAAAAATCATAGCCTTCCCTATAGTATGTCTATTATTCTATTATTATTTCATTACTTCTATGTATTTAAATCCCTTAACATTTGACTAAATATCAATCTATCTGAATCTTCTAGCACTTAATATTATATTTTCTTGTTTTTTGTTGTAACTGTAATCATATTATAACAAATACTTTAAGCTTTTTCCAATTCTTTTTTGGCAAATGAAGGTGGCTCTTCAACTTCTATTGAAGGTGGAATATAAATGCATTCATTTAAATTGAAATAATATGGTTCTTATTTCCATTGTTTTTCATCATCTCCATTCTAAAACGAATAAACTCTCCATTTGTAATATTCATTCTCTTCAGATTACTAAAATAATCTTTAAATAAATACCAAAAATAAAAAAGCATATTTATTATTATTTATCTCTCTCTATTTGATAATCTATTCACATTGTATTCCTTCCTTTACTACCTATCGAGCTATTTTATCAATTATCCCTCTAATCTATGGATTTGGTAATTTTATTTTCACTATTTTAGACTTGTTTTGATAACTTGGTCCTCCATAACTACAATAAATGAATATATTTACTAAAGTTAAAAATGAAATCCATTTTCTACTTTCTTCTGTAATTCTATATAAGCATGTTATGCTGACTATGCATTTTCGTATGTAACATTAGCTATAATCTAAGCCTGGGCATCTCTATAGTATGCACGTAAAGAGATTTTCACAACATTTCCATATTCTGCACATACTAATCTAAGAGATTACTCTGTTATCTTTGGAGTCAATCCACCTTCAAATTTATTCATTTATCTTACAAATAGTTATATTAGGACTGTTTTTATCAACAAATTGATAAGGTATTATGTTCTTTATATTGTTAAAATGTTCATTTAGATTTTGTTGCATTCCAGCCAATGGTTTCAGAGGTTTCTAATATATTTAAATAATACTTACTTAAGGTTGCAATTAAAGTGGCTTCAAAATACAATTGCTCTGCATTTAATTATAATATAAATTTTAATAATTTTCATTTTAGTGACTTAAATTATCATTAATCCTCATCCCAACTTAATATTTTCAAACAATCCTGATATAATAAAAATAAGCAGTAATATAATGAATAGATTAGAAGAAACAAAAAATTAATTATATAGTCATCATACAAATTTTATAGAAGAATAAATAAAACTATTAAAAATAAGAAATAGATTAATTAATTTAGTAATAAACCAGATTTAATTAATTGATATAATCCATTTTCTGATATAATTAAAAATAATAAGATGGTATATAAATTATAATATTATTGACCTTAAAAAATACTATTTAAGAATTTCAAAAATAATTACAAGTTAGTTATAAAGAGAGAAATAACAATGAGGGAGTTTTAAAATCTATATTGCTGAAAAAGAATAAATATTATATTAATACTCATTTTCTTAGATATAAAATAAATCTCCAAATTATTTAGAATATTTGTAAATACTAAAAATAAAGGAAATATATATTGTGAATTTTATCAAGCTTTTTAAAATCGAAAATTAGTTAGATAGTTCAGGAAGTAAAATAAGATTAAAATATAATCATAGATCAAAATCAATTAAATAATCATAACCTAATTTTATTATTATTACAATAAGTATAATAATAGTAGTAGTAGTAGAATATTATATAAAAGGAAACTTAAAGGATTTTAGTTCAATTTAATAATCAAAGTAGATGATAAGTAAATTAAACAAAATTTAGTTGATTAAAGTTCAAAAAAAACTAGTTTACAAAATAAATAATTAAATAATTTCGCAAAAATAATTGGATATAAATTAGAAATTGTTAAATATTAATCACTTAATAGAAAACTTAAAAATTATAAGTACTTACATATAATTTATTTAATAGATAATTGAAATTAATCAAATTAATAAGTAAGTAATGTGTGATGCAATTGATATATTAGAAAAGATTATCAATTAGTTATGAGATTGAGATATATTTTATTATATTAATAAATTAATTCATGGATTCAAATTATAATTACGATCAATATGCATAAAAAGCATATTCAGCCAATGTATTCAAAGTTGATGAATCAGAATTTATTATTGAGAAGAGATATAAGCCAACTTAATAATGTAAATTAATTATTAATTTTTCAGTGGGAAGTGGAGCATATGGTATTGTTATTGGTTGCGAAGATACAAAAGCAACAATACCAGAATAAAAAATGGTAGCAATCAAAAAAATAGAGAGAACTTTTGAGCATAGATTTTATGCTAAAAGAACCTTAAGAGAGTTAAAAATCTTAAGAAATTTAAAACATGAAAATGTAAGCATCAAAACAAACATTTTAGATAGTTAATCTTATTACAATATAGCTTCCGAAATCCAGAAAGAATTTTTATGATATGTAAAAATATAGATCTTAAATTAAATAGATATTGTGTTACAGAATTATTAGACACTGATTTGAAACGTGTTATTGATAAAGAACATGCTAAATTGAATTAAGATCATTTTAAACTCTTTTTATACCAGATTCTTAGAGCACTTAAATATATGCATTCTGCTAATATTTTACATCGAGATTTGGTATAATAATGAGACTAAAAAATTAGAAACCAACAAATCTATTGTTAAATAAATAGGATTGTATGTTAAAAGTTTGTGATTTTGGATTATCCAGAGCATTGTTATAGACAACAAAAACATAATAATAAAATCCTAATATTATGACTGATTATGTTGAAACTAGATACTATAGAGCACCAGAATTATTATTGGGTCTTAAAACTTATACATAAGCAGTTGATATTTGGAGTGTTGGATGTATATTTGCAGAAATTGTTAGAGGAAAAACATTATGGAGAGGCTAGAATTGTAATCTCTATTTGATTCATATCATTAGCAAAATAATAAATTAAAATGATATTTGAAACTCTTGGAACACCATCTAAGACTAAAATAATGTAAGTTCAAGATACATTTGTATCATAAAAATTAGTTGAACTTATTTAAGAATTAGGAGCTTTAGAGAAAGTTCCATGGGATAGAGTAGTAAAAGGATTACCACCTGAAGGATATGATTTATTAGAAAAACTATTAGAAATTGATTATAAGAAGAGAATCACAGCAGCTGAAGCTCTTAAACATCCTTATTTAAAGGAGCTCCACAATCCAAGTGATGAGGTATATTATTTAACATATATAATTATATAGCCCACTAGAGTTCCTGTATCTAATATGGAATTTGAATTTGAAATGTATGAATTTACAAATGAGTAACTTAAAGGTAGATTTAAATAATATTTTAATAGATATGATATATGAGGAGATCCTATTATATCATTATCCAGATTTTAAGAAATCTTATGAAGAAAAAATTGCCAACAATTAGAGTATCATCAGCCACATAATGAAAGGAGAAAGTGCTAAAATTATTGATCCTGAAGCTGATGATGATTATCCAATATGATGTTAAATAAAGATATATATATATATAATATACAAAAATTTAAAGGTTTTAATCATCTTCAATCATTTACTAATTGGTTAAATATAATTATACTATCAGCAAGAATGAACTCTATGAGGATTTCAAGTAAAACATTTAATTGATCTTCCTTTTGTGACTGACTTTTATCTTTAACATAAATCCTACAATATTATGGTAGATACTTGTTTTATTTACATTTTCGTTTTGATATCTTATGACTTTTGTAATGAACCTGAATAAATTTCAAAATATACTCTCTTCCACTTGGATTCAATTTAAGTGAATTTCTATTTGCATAGTGGACATGTGTTTTCAATCTAACATTAATAAGTTTTTATACATTAGACCATTTTTTAATACAATCTGAACAAAATGAATGACTGCAGCTATCCAGAATTCCCTAAACCTTCAAACATCTTTTACTTAATTCTCAATTGCATTATAACATATTCCACATTATTAAGCCTTGGATTAAAATCTAGTTTGCCTTTAATCTTGTTCCTTCATGTTTATTTTGCTTTGTTAAAAAAATAAATTATAAGAATTAATGAAATTAAATCACACTTATCATACTTTTTAAATTATTAATGTCGGTTTTTCTACTCTAATCCAAAAAAAATCTATAATAACTTTAAATATTTTGAAGTGTAAAATCTAATATTCTCATTTCCATCTACAGAAAATGTTTAAATAATTAAGTAAATAAAAATAGTATTGTGTATTTTGAATTATAAATTAAGTCTAAAATATTAAATTTAATAAAATATAATAATAATTCTTTAAAAGAATATTTTACTTAAAATTATAGTAATTATGGTCGCATTTGAATCAATAATTATATTAAAATATTTGTGTTATTTAAATAATTATAACTATTTAATATAAACAGAAGATAACAATAAGTTAATCTAATCATAAGCAAATAAATAATTTATACTTAAAACTTATTAATTAATATTAAAGATTTTATAAGTAAAAAGAAAATTTAAAAAATATATGAATAAGTATTTAGTTATTGATTATTTTTCTAAACAAAGAAATAATTAAAAAATTAGATTATATATATTTAATTATTATTAATTAATTTTTATAAGAGTTATCAATATTGAAGGATTTTAAGAAAGGTAGAATTTTGAGAATAATAAGTATATTGATTAAAGATTTAAGATAATTTATTAAATAGTTCATTTTAGAAAAATATTTTAATATCTATTAAATAATAGGTTATTGAGTTTACCTAACCTAGCAAACAAATAAAAATTAAAAAATTGAGTTTTGAAAGCAGAATTATAGATAACAATTTCTATATATCAATATATGAATAGAAATATTTTATAGTAGGAATAAATAATTGACGATCAAATATAAAATTCAAGGGAATCTCAAGATTTTTGTTAAAAGTAAGTCATAATCAAACTATTAAGGTTTTTAATGTATATAAGATATTAGATTAGTTAATTAGTTGATTATATAAGTATTCGAATAGCAAGAAGTATATATATTTTATTAATTTAAAACAGAATGACATGAGTTTGATAGAAAAGTAAGATTATTATATTTATTTTAATAATTGTTAACATGAAAGTCTAGTTAAACAGATAAAAAACAAATGATGTGAGAATTATTATTTAATTAATTTAATTAAGTTTTTGATAGAATTCAAAAAATGTAATCTAACTATTCTCCCCTTTACAAAATCAAGGTTACATTAGGACCTTATATTGTTTATGATCATTCCGTTGATGAACAAAAATAAATTTACGTGGCCTATAATGCTGATTTTGATAGGAAATGTTGTGTTAAAATTATTGAGAAAAAAGAAGAAAGTAATATAGAAACTATTATTCATTAATAAATATCATTAATAGTTCATTAAAATATAACAAGAATCTATAATGTAATAGAATAGAAGAATCATATTTATATTTTTTAAGAAATTTGTGAAAAGGATCTTTCACAATACTAATTAGATCCATCCAACTTAATTCAAATTCTAGATTTCATTTATTAAATCTCAGATGGATATATAACTTTATAAAAAAATGATATAATTCATAGAGATTTAAAACCTGAAAATATTCTAATTAAAGAAGATTTAAAATAAAATAGATTAATTTACAAAGTATTTTATATAATTTAAGAGCAAGATTTGTGATTTTGGAATAAGTAAAATAGAATAAAGCTGGAGATTATAAACACAATAAAAAATGGGAACACAAGCTTATTCAGCCCCAGAAATTAGACAATATTAATATAGCTGGGCTGCTGACGCTTATTCAGTAATTAAAATATTTATTTAAAGTTTGGTTTAATTCTCTTATAAATCCTTTTAAAAATAACTTATGATTAATATTTTAAAAAATAAATAGATTCTTTCCTAGAATAAAACAGGTTAAAATAATGGTTCTTATAAAATGATAATGTTAAAAACAAATTTAAAAACCTTATCATATTGGATTAATTAAATGATGGTAGTAAGATTAATCCATTTCTATTGGAAATTTTGGATAATCTACTTGTCTGTCAACCAGAAAAAAGAATATCATGGGAAGAACTAAATATCAAGGTTAAAAAAAAATTAAAACAAATACTTACAAATCAAAGTGTATAAAACTTAATACCTAATAATATTGAAGCATAATAAACCAATCAAATATAGCCAAATTTATAAGACAATTAAATTCCACCATCTACTTAAACATAACAAACATTGTTAAACAATTAAATTCCACCATCTACTTAAACATAACAAACATTGTTAAACAATTAAATTCCGCCATCTACTTAAACATAACAAACATTGTTAAACAATTAAATTCCACCATCTACTTAAACATAACAAACATTGTTAAACAATTAAATTCCGCCATCTACTTAAACATAACAAACATTGTTAAACAATTAAATTCCACCATCTACTTAAACATAACAAACATTGTTAAACAATTAAATTCCGCCATCTACTTAAACATAACAAACATTGTTAAACAATTAAATTCCACCATCTACTTAAACATAACAAACATTGTTAAACAATTAAATTCCGCCATCTACTTAAACATAACAAACATTGTTAAACAATTAAATTCCACCATCTACTTAAACATAACAAACATTGTTAAACAATTAAATTCCGCCATCTACTTAAACATAACAAACATTGTTAAACAATTAAATTCCACCATCTACTTAAACATAACAAACATTGTTAAACAATTAAATTCCGCCATCTACTTAAACATAACAAACATTGTTAAACAATTAAATTCCACCATCTACTTAAACATAACAAACATTGTTAAACAATTAAATTCCGCCATCTACTTAAACATAACAAACATTGTTAAACAATTAAATTCCACCATCTACTTAAACATAACAAACATTGTTAAACAATTAAATTCCGCCATCTACTTAAACATAACAAACATTGTTAAACAATTAAATTCCACCATCTACTTAAACATAACAAACATTGTTAAACAATTAAATTCCGCCATCTACTTAAACATAACAAACATTGTTAAACAATTAAATTCCACCATCTACTTAAACATAACAAACATTGTTAAACAATTAAATTCCGCCATCTACTTAAACATAACAAACATTGTTAAACAATTAAATTCCACCATCTACTTAAACATAACAAACATTGTTAAACAATTAAATTCCGCCATCTACTTAAACATAACAAACATTGTTAAACAATTAAATTCCACCATCTACTTAAACATAGCAAACATTGTTAAACAATTAAATGTTACCATCTACCCAAATCACCCCTGGTTAAGATTTTATAAATCAACACACATCAGAAAAAACCAGATTATCTTAATCGTTAGTTACTCCAATTCCTTAGTTTCAACAAAAGTAAAACAATTAGGGAATGAATTAAATTCAAAATTCACAAATTAATAATGTTTAAAATATCTAATAGGGAAATCAACATCCATATCATAATAATCGTATCCATTAACAATTATAATAACCGAATGTTTAAATAATCTAGGTAATGACACCCAGACAAAATAGTACTTTAAATCCTGAAATATATAATCAAAATCAAAGATTCATTCCGATCTAATAAGTTAGTTGGTTTGGGAATCCATAAGCACAATAGAGAAAAAATTGATTAATGATTAAATAATAGGAATTTTTTAATCCTTTAGATAATAAATAAAGGATAATTTTTTTTAATTAATCAATATTTTTTTTAATAGAATTATTGAAGAGAATGGAATATTCACAATTGAAATAAACACAATTTGGTCCTTATGAAATTAAATAAGATAAAATAGGATCTGGAAATGCAGTCACTGTTTTTAAAGCACTTAACCTAGATTGGAATACCGATTGTTGTGTTAAGATAGTGGATAAAAGTGATTAGAGCTAAATGAAACAATATCAAATAGAGAAATAAATATCATCAGAGCTTAAATGGGTATTCCATAAAAATCTTGTCAGAATATATGATATTTTTGAGAAAGACAATTATATTTATATTTTTTAAGAACTTTGTGATTAAGATTTAGGACGATATAAAAAATAATTAGATAGAGAACAAATATTGGATTTAATCATTTAAGTGGCATCTGGATATATTTAATTGATGGAACGAAATATTATGCATAGAGATATAAAATAAGACAACATACTTATAAAAAAAGATAAAAATGGATAAATAATTTACAAGGTTCATCTTATTATATATGATTAGCTTGCTGATTTTGGATAGAGTAAAAAATGTGATGAAGAATCTAACAGAATTACGACAAATAATTAACAAGGCACTTTATGTAAATAGGCTCCAGAAATTTATGGATCAGATTATAGTTATTTAGCAGATATATTTTCAGTATTTATATTATTTTTATAATTAGTTTGGGTTAGTATTGTTAGAGTTATATTTAAATATTCAAATAGATAAAAAGTAGCACATGAATTGTCTCTTTGATTACTTAAAAAAAAAAAGTTTCATTTAAATTAAAGAAATGAATGATGAGAATAAACAGTAATTTGAAAAAATAAAAAATATATTTTAATATAACAAAGATGATGAAATAATTAAAATAATAGATTAATTATTAAAGTACAAAAAAGAGGATAGAATCGGTTGGTAAAATTTATTAAAAAACGCTGAAAATGTTAAAAAAAATATGAATAATTCTTAAGGAAATATACAAAAAAAAATAAGTAAATAATTATAGTATTCGTCAATAGCTTTGTAAGTTTAATAACCAAAAGTTTCAAATTTTTAGACTAAACAAACCCCTAAAAACTAATAATAATATCTTTGCTAAATTAAGGGAAATGGAATATAAAATCAACCATCATCTAATTTACCCTTATAATATCCTCAACCATATTCAAATTTACCATAATAAATTCATCAACCATAATCAAATTTACCATAATAAATTCATCAACCATAATCAAATTTACCATAATAAATTCATCAACCATATCCAAATTTACCATAATAAATTCATCAACCATATCCAAATTTACCATAATAAATTCATGAACCATAAAATCATCGACTATAAAATAATTAGCAAGTAGGCAATAATTTTTGTTAAACAAAAGGATAAATTACAGGTTTTTAAAATAAGACTATTAAAATTTAATAAAATCAATAAATAATTCCCCCATAAAATTAATAACATAAGGCCCTCTATAAAAATTAGACTTAATAGTAAATTTGCCGTTAGGGAACAATTAATCATTACTCCGCTATCAACAATTAATTTATTCAATAACCCTAGAATTAATAATTTGTTTACATTAATTATAGAGCCCAATGAATTTATATATAGATTTTATACATTAGTAAGGATTAAAATGTTTAAATTATTAATATTATTATTTGATATATATTTGTTATAGTGTATTACATAATATCTTAATGTAATCAAATTTTAAATTGATAATAATTAATTTAACGATTATATTAATTTTCTAATGGAAAAACTTATTGGATGTTATGAGATTCACTTAGATAAGAAGTTTAACAAAGAAAGAGAAGATTTAATTTACGATTGCATCAACACCGACACAAAAATAAAATGTTTTGCAAGAATTTTAAATAAAAGAGATTAGAATATAAATTGTTAAACATTTAATTAAGAACGAAAAGTATTAGAATAATTAAAATGGTTAAGACATGATAATCTCTTAATTATATATGATTACAAAGAAGAGGTAGATTCTATATACTAGTTTTATGAATTATATGATGAAACACTTGTTGAATACATGAAACCAGAAAATTTTATCACAAAATTCTAATTTTTTGATTTCATATCATAAATAAGTTCAGGATATATGGAACTAAAGAAATTAAATATTATTCATAGAGATTTAAAACCAGAAAGTATAATAATAAAAAAACATTAAAATGACATTAAATATAAGATTGCTGACTTTAGGATGAGTAGAATAATTGATAATTAAGAAAATTTACATACAAAAGTTTTGGTAAATACAAAATATTGTTCACCAGAGACTTTATTAAATAATATGAAATCTAGTTATGAATCAGATATTTTTTCAGTATTATTGATATTGATATAAAAATTAGTTTGGTATAATATTGTATGAGATGATAGAAGGAAATCTTGAAATAACTGAAAACTAGAAAAAACAGAAAGAATTTTTTGAAGCTATTAGAATAAAGGGTTTTAAAGAATACTTTAAAGAAAGGGAAAATTAAGTAATTTTTTATATGAGATAGAATAATTTACCAGAAGGAATTTTACCCATATTAGATAATTTGATTGCTTATGATCCATCAAAGAGAATTACATGGGAAAATTTGAATAGTTTGGTAACTTAACAATTAAGAGAATATTATTCATATTAATAACCAATTTCAGGAAGAGCAGAAATCAATTTGAATCATAAAATGTCTGTAGGAAATTCATCCAATCTTAATTAGATGGTCGAAAATACTAATTTTTAAAATTAAAATACAACAAAATAAAAAAAAAATGATAATAATTAATTCTTTAATAATTAGAAAACACAATTAAAATTTGATAGATTTCACTTAAGAACAGAAAGTGATATGAATATTTAAGAAATTGTGAATCTTTAGAAAAATCAAAATAATTATAATTAAAATTTATTCCAACCAAAGAATAATCTATAAAATAATAGAATCAATTTTAATACATTAAAATGATTTATTTGAAATGGTTAAATAATTACTAAAATAATAATTTAATTTTTAATTATATATGTAATTCTACATTTAATCATACCTTTTATATATTCTCATTCCCATAAAACAGAAGGAATTTTTAATCGTAATTATCTAAGAAACTATTATTAATTTCCAGCATCATGAATGAAATCCAAAGATTATATAAATTCTTCCCCACTTCTATAAATATTGAATGTTTTTGTTTCTGGACAATAGTAAAAGTGCTACTTTGGATCCCCATAAAAATTACATTTTTTACAATGAATTAAACCATCAGATGAAATATAAAGATAGTTTTAGCATAAGTGATATTGTTATCTACTCTATTTATGATTACATTTGCATTAAGCAGGACAGAATCCAATAAAATTAATATGATTTTGTATTTCAGGATAAGAAAATGGATTAATCTAAAACATCTATTAACAACTTAATTATAAATTATTCCAAAAATCAACTATTTATTAATTCATTGTTAATGTTTTTATGTGTTACCAAAATGCTTCTAAGAAATCCTTACTACTTTTAAATTTGTTTTTTGTTCTTGTATGAGGACAATAGAAATTATAATCCTAAATGTTTTAAGTGAAAAAACATTATTAACATAATAGTTAACCTATTGAATTGATATATAATTGTTTGTTACATGTATGAACCTAAATAATTAATAAAGCTTGACATGAACATTAAGGTGGACATTAACATTTAATAGGTATAGCAGTCTTTTTATCCACATTAGTTGGATGTTTTGAAGTCCATTATTTATCAGAATATTTTTATGTTTTCAATTTGTTGAGACTTTATCCAGAAGTAAAGAGAGATACATCGGATATTGTAGGTTAAGTGATTATTTAAGGTTGAATTATAAGTGGAGATTGATAAAGAATTTATGATTCAAGATTTGTCTCTTTTATAGAAGTTCTAGATGATAAATCAAAATGAACTTCTTTTTTTGTTTCTGAATAAATTCTTGATCTTTAATAAGATATGGGTTTTATTATTTTGATAGTACTTTTTCTTTATAAAGGTTAAAGAGATGGTGCTTTATCATTCTAAATGTAATATAATTCCATTAATTATGAAACATCTTCATAATTCTGTTTTTATTATAATTTAAGTTTGTAATTAATTTCTTAAAGTCGATTGATTATTTTAATCAAATTTTCATTTGTTTTTTTGAAATCTTCATATTCAGCAATTTTTTTATCTTAATGACCTTTCAAAATTGAATTGATTAAACTAAGATTAGCTTAAATTCTAGTATCTTATTCTTTTTAAGCTTCATTATATTCTTATATTTCTTATAAAAGCATATCCAATTTATTTAAACCATATTTAAGATTTTCAATAAATTATTTCAACCTTTCATTAAGTTATTGTAAATATTATTCTTTTTTAGTATTGTTTTTTGAAAATTTAAAGTTTTCTTCTATTTTTTGTAATTAAAAAATTATCATTTTAAGTGAAGTATGAAGGGATTATATTTTATTCACTTTATGTTAAGTTAAATATTCAGTTAGAAGTGTTTCATTCATTCTTTAATCATCATGAAATACTTAACTATCTGTTAATATTTCATAGATGATCATAATATAATTATTATTTTCAGCCTATTAATCATGATCAAAAAATGCTATAAACTATTAATATTCATAATATAGTGATTCTAGAATGTGTAAATATTCTGATTTACTTTAACATAACTATGAAATTAAGTTATTTTAAGAAATCTGATATTCCTATTGAATAATTCTTATTCTTTCATCATGATCTTATGCAATTTATCTATCTTCTTTCTGTTTTTTTTTCATAACTTTTTCAAATTATTTCTAACTCACATTAATAATTTTCTAGATGCTTTCCTCAACTTAATTGTGAAGGTCTGCAAATTTGGACTGTCTATCTGTTATTTTATATATTAATGATGTAATTTCTTCAAGTTATGATGATTGGTAGTTTTTATCTTGAATAAATTTATTCATTTGTTTTTGTAAAGAAGAGATTTTAAAAGTAAATAAATTAATGATTAAAAAGCAAAGATTTTCTTTAAATATTTAAGTTTTTATTAAATACTAGTTTGTAATAATCAATTTCCATTAGTATAATAGTAATTAAAGTATTATTATTGCAATACATGTTATATCTTTTATTAAATAAACAAAAAATTATAATATTAATATCTTCTAATAAAATGACTTATAAATATATTTAAAGTATTTAACTAATTAATATTATGTTAATCTGCTTAGCATTAATTATACCATTAAAATTAAATAAATATTTTATGATTTATAGTTTTTTTAATTCAAAATCAAAGATATTCTTTAATTCATTAATGTTTCTAATTATTGAAACTAGAATTCAATAAACCAAAATAATTTAATTACATTATAACAACTAAATAATTTAGATAAAATATTTGTAAAATTAAATTTCTATACAGAAAATTTGGCCAAATGGGATTCTATAATTTCTAAATTAATTTAACAGTTATAAATTACAGCTTAGTGCTCTCTCAATCGGAATCTTAAGAATTGAATAATCTTAATATATTTCATAGTAGAGTTAAGTTTTGCCAATTCTAAATAATTAAAAAAAGAATAAACCATATAAAAAATAGTATTTCAAATATAGACAACTGTAATAATAAAACTATTATATTTTTATAATACATATTGAAAAAATATAAAATTATATACACCTATGAATTATATGAAGAATTCTATTTATTAAATTTATTATTAAACAAAATTATTATGTCCAATACAAAATTTCCTTCAGTTTCAATTAATGAAAAGTATAATTCAATCACATTATAAGGTTATAGAAACGTATATTGAGATCAAAGATAGTAAAGATATTGAACAGTTAGTTTTAGAATTATTGTCACAAATTCTTAAAAATTGAGAGATTATAATCAGAAATTGAAACTAGGAAGTGTGAATTTGATTTAGAAGATTAAAATTTAATATAACTACTACCTATTCATCCACCAATGAAATTTACTTAAGAAGAAAAACATCATTGCTAAAGAATGAATATTAACATTCCAACTCCTTTAGAAATGTAATAAAAATTAAAGGCATAGTTAACACATTAAGAATTATTAGAAGTAGTTAATCAATCTAATTTATTAGATTGGAGAAGATCCAGCTTATTTTATTTAAGATGAAGAAATGAGAAGATTGAATTGGAATGAAGAAGATTGGTTATCAAAATCTCATACACATTTAAAAAAGGAAATAAAAGATATTCCTAAAATAAAATCTAATAGCAATTTATTAAAAATAAAAAAACCAACCATAAGATCAAATACTGAAGATAGAACTGAGAGAAAGAATAAAGTATCAAATACGATATTTATAAATAAAAGATGATTGATGAATATGTTAAAAGATTACATGAAATTAATGAAATCAATTTTTAGAAAGTCAAATATAATCAAGAGACAAAAGAAATAGAAAAATAAAAAGAGTAAGCAAAGATGAATGAAAAATTTAAGTCTAAAATAGATGTCTAAATAAAAAAGTAAGATGCGAAACATGAAAGTCATCAAAGAATAGCTGAGTTTAAATAACAATAACAATAGATGATCAACGAAAAAATGGATTAACATAAGTATATATAAATAATGAATTTATTTAGGAAACGAATAATAGAGGAGGAAGAGATGATTAGATTACATCAAAGATTGAAATAGATATGTTAAAATAAGTAGGTTAATAGTCTAATAGATTTGAATCTCAAAGATAGAATAGATAAAGCAATAAAATGTTAAACCAATAAATGATTAAATTATATTCATATTTCTAATATCTTTATTTTATGATTTATAGAGTTTAGTATTAAATTTTGAAAATGTTACATAATCAACAAAAGACTATAAGATAAGTAATGATTAGAATATTTAGGTATAATAATGAAAAAACTCTTAATTTTTCTTATTATATTTAATACAATATGCTACTCAAAATTTTACTATATTATCTTTCTTTAATCCTAATTATTCATAAAGTGATATGACTAATTTGTTCATAGGTTTAGGTCCACATAATACACCTAATGTTGTTTCAGTTAGTTTTGGAAATATTGATGTTATCATTTCTAAAGTCACAAACCCCTTTAAACCTTTCCAATTTTCGTCAGACTTTAAGATTATTATATATAAATACTTTGTCTAAAGTGAAATGAACTGTAAATTGATCTTTATGTTTAGTTTATAATTCATTTAATTCTTTTAATAGCCATATATCTTATTCAGTTTTATTTGCATACAAAAGTACCATTTTAGTGTTATCATTAGGATTATCACATATAGTTTTGATTAATTAATATGCTGGAGTGATACCACTTCCTCCACATATAAGTAATACAGTGTCGAATTATTACCATGTCTTATTAAGTTTAGGTCTAACAATAAATTGATTATTATGATAAAACAGTTTTCCTACACACCTTTTAATTGTCAATTCTGAATGCAACTATTATTAAATCTCATAAGATTACATCTAATTTCTCTAACCATGGAGTTAATTCTCCTCCATTTGGAAATTGAGGATGTACATTTGGCCTATAAATCTTAATAGGGATCAAAAAGTATCCATCATCTTCAAATATATGTGTGTATGCTCTATCAACTATCTCACCCTTCATATTAAGACCACTCAATATTAATATGTGTGAAATTACTAGATTTTGATATGCTAAACAGCTTGCATTCCCAATCTCTCTTTTGGATTTTTGAAATCAAATCTGAACATATAAGAATCATGATTGATAGGTTCCCTTTATGTAAGAGTCACTTAAAATTTCTTTGTGAAAAATTCACTTAATGTATCAATCTTGAAATCCTTCTAATCCATTTATGATATTAATTATAATCAAAAAATTTAAATTGCTAATCCGAAATTTATAATAAATCTAAATAATAATTGTAAAGATATTCTTATAATATTATAAACAATTAAAAATTTATTACTAATTCAATTAATTATACTACATTTTCCTAAATCCTATATAAAAGATTCTAAATTCCTTAGAAATGTAAAAAATCTTGCTGAACTTAAATGAAATACATCATCTTATATATTATTTCTTTTTAAAAACCAATCATATCAATCTAGCCATTTTGTCAGCATTTCCAATATAATCTTTTGGTTCTAAACTCAAAAGTTTCTTTTTGACATCATCTGGTAAGGTCAATTTTGAAATGAAATCTCTTAAAGAATCTTTTGTTATTTTTTATCCTCTGGTTAATTCCTTAAGTTATTCATATGGATTTGGAACCCCATATTATCTCATAATCTATTAAATAGGTTCAGCTAAAACTTCCCAATGCTATATTATTAAACAAATAGATAATACATTTTCTAAATCATTTAAAATTGTATCATAATTAGGTGATATCTTATCAAGTCCTTTAATTAAACTTCGATATCCTACAACAGCATATCCTAAACAAACTCCATGATTTCTCATTACAGTAGAATCAGATAAATCTCTTTAATATCTAGAAATAACTAATTTATTCATAAAATGTTAGGCTAAGGAATTTGATAAACCTAAATTTCCTTCACAATTTTCAAAATCAATAGGATTTACTTTATGTGGCATAGTGGATGAACCAACTTCAGATTTAATACTTTTTTATTCGAAATAATTAATTGAGATATAACTCCAAACATCTCTTGATAATCCTAATAAGATATTATTAATTAAATTGAGATATGAATAATAGAGTGCTACACTGTCATGAGGTTCAATTTGAGTAGTGTAGGGATTGTGTTTTAATTTAAGTTCTTCAATAAATTGTTTACTTAGATTAGGCCAATCATAATTTGGATATGCTAATAAATGAGCATTATAATTTCCAACAGCACCATTCAATTTAGCCTCAAATTTTAGATTTCTTAATAATTCTGAATGATTTCTTATTCTATAAGCAAAATTTGCAAATTCTTTTCCTACAGTAGTAGGAGATGCAACTTAACCATGAGTTCGACTCAACATAGGAACATTATAATGATCATGTGATAATTGTACTAATTTATTAATGACTCCTTCTAATGATTTCATTAATAAATTGTTTTTAGCATCAGTCATCATTAAACTATAAGCAATATTATTAATGTCTTCACTTGTACAACAAAAATGAACATATTCTTTCATTGAATGTAAAATAGGATCTAAATATCTCATAATAATAACATACTCTTATCTAATTCTTCTTTGATATAATATTCAATAGATTTAACATCATGATTAGTTGTACTTTCTATTTATTTAACTCTGAATGATTTGGTTACATCAAATTTATCATATATCAAATCCAAATAAGTCAAATCTAGAGCTGTTAAATTCAAAACTGAATTTCCTTGTTTTATCATATTCTTAGAATGTAAAAACTTTAACCATTCAATTTCTACTTTTATTCGATATCTAATATAATAAGAATTATATTACTTCATTAATGCATACTCACTAAAATATTCTTTGAGAGGTGTTGTTTGACTGGCATATCTTCCATCAAGAGGTGAAATTGCAGTCAAAGTGGATTCTTTAAATTCTATGATTTAATTGTCATTTATTTACATGATGAGAATTTAAACAATCTTCTAAAAATTAACATAATTATAAAATCTAGTACTAATTATTCACAATTTTATATAAGTCTTTTCTAACATATATTTATACATCTCATCTCCTCTTTTAGATGAACTATTACACAAATCTTTCAATCTCAAAATGTATTTATTAAAAATCTCACTCCTTCAAGTCTTTAATCTTCTAAAAATTTGAATTCTATCTAAAACTGATTATCCAGAATGAAACATATACAATACCAGAAAGAAAAACATAAATATAGAATATTTTATAAATATAAATATATAGATTTCAACATTTTTGTCATCCTTACTTTTTTTGAGTGAATTACAAATGATATCTATCTTTTCTATGGAGCTCAATCTGGTAAATTTGATTTTAACAATCAATCTTATTATAATCTTATAAATTTTCATTATAATAACTCTTTTAGTCAAAATAATGAAATTCTTCTACTAAATTATTGAAACAAAACAGAAATATTATATCTGTTCTGTATGGATATTTAATTATTGTATTTAATATATTAGTTTGATCAAATAAATGACATTTATATTATATGAATTGATTTTTTTTCATAAAATAAGTAAGAATAATTTAATAATTTATATATTGTTTATATCCATGTAACAATTCGATACAGAATTTGGAAGATTATTTTATTGCATCTATACTTTGCATAAACGATAACTTATTAGTTAAGAAAGAAAAGGAAGATTAAAAGGTTTCTACTTTTATGACTGTAGATTTGCTCATATCAACAGATGATCGTATGAGTCCTTTATTAAATAATTTGAAATAATATAATGAATAATAAGTGCATGAACACTTGTTAATGATTGTAGATTCCCCATAAGATACATTTGTCAAATAAGAATCAGAACCATCTGAAGAAAATTAATCAATTAAATCCACACGAACATTAAGAATAACTAAACCAAAGAAAATTTTTATTGAAAAGAGTACATTTAAATTGGCTGAAAAGAGTCCAGGCCCTTTGAGTACTAGATCGACTTTGAAAAGGACTTCATTATCAATTTAACATTCTTGAAAACATATATGATTTTTATAAATATAAATATAATTATTATGAAATTAATTAAGAAGAAAGACATTTTTTAGAACATAAACACAGAATATGAAATATCTGCATAAGTATAAAGAAAATTATTAAATGGAAATGCATAATTCATTATTGATTTAGCTATCAATTTAGAATTAAATTCATATTCTACAGTATCTTTAGCAATTCATTTATGTAATTATTTCTTTCATTATAAATGTTATTTACAATATGATAGATTTGTAAAATTTAATATTTAATTTAGATTGTTGGAGCTGCATCTCTTTTATTGGCTTAAAAAATAAAAGATGGAGATCCAAGAATGAGAAAATTATTAATTAGTTTTCATAGAATTATGTAATCAATTGAGCAAACAAGAATGGCTAATGAGGCTTTAATGTAATCATTATAAAACAAACTCTGTATAGCTGAAAGCAGAATTTTAAAAGTAATTGAATATGAATTTGATATTAAATTACCTAATGATTACATTGAAGTAATATGTAAGAAATGTGTACCAAAGAAATTTGAAGAAGCTACTTTTCATACTCTCAAAATTTTGATATTGGATTCTTATAGAACATATGCACCTTTAGTATTTCATTCATGGGTGATATTGGTTGGAACATTTTTAGTAGCATCATCTTAATTTTCATATACACCATATATGTCACCACCTCCTTAATTAAATATGCCACCAATTACTAATGAAGAGGAAGCATACAAAATATGGTTAGAACATGTTGAAAATGAATTAAGAGAATTTGATGTCAATAAAATGAATAATACTAATACAAAATAACCAGAAAAGACAACCATTTTAAAACAAGAAGATTTAAAAGACTTTCTTCTTGTATTTAATGAAATGTTATTTTTAAATTAATGTCCAGAATAATAGTAATAATAACTTTAATCCTAATAAACATTACAATAATCATGAGTTTTTTAATTTTTTGTTATAAAAAAATATATATCAGATTAAAAATCTTCTATCATTATATTATTTTTTTGTATTAATATTATATATATATATATTAAAATAAATATATTATTATTTTTTTTCTATATTCAGAGATTAAATGTTAATTATTATTAAAAAAATGAAATTATACTTACTTTTATTT